GTCTACATGTATGTATGTGTGCGTACGTATATGTATTTATGCATGTGTGTATGTGTATATGTGTGCATGCATGTATGTGTATATATGCGTGTATGTATATATATATATATATGTATGCGTGTATCTGTGTGTATATGTGTGCATTTGTGTATCTGTTGTGTATGTGTGGTGTATGTATGTGTGTATGTGTGTATGTGTATCGGTGTATGTATGCGTGGTATATATATGCATGTATGTGTATGTGTGTGAATATATGTGTATGCGTTGTATATGTGTATGTGTGTGTGTATGTGTGTGTATATGCATGTATATATGTGTATGTATATGTATGTATGTGTGGTGTATGTAATGTGTATACGTATGTGTATATGTATGTGTATGTATGTGTATGTGTGTGTATATGCATGTATATATGTGTATGTATATGTATGTATGTGTGGTGTATGTAATGTGTATACGTATGTGTATATGTATGTGTATGTATGTGTATGTGTATGTGTATGTATGTATGTGTATATGTATGTGTATATAATAATGTTTATAATCCCAAAAATGGATTGATGGATTAATGTAACCAACTGCCTGTATTCATCTCCCATTTAACAATTTCACTTTTTAATAGAAAAGACAAAAAAGATTAATCTTTTTTGTCTTTTCCATCAAAAAAGAAGGAATAAAAATTTTAAATTAAATTTTAGTAGAATTAATAAAAATTTTCTAAAATTATAAAAGTTCTTTTCTTTGAGAGAGAGAGAGAGAGAAACAAAGAAAAAAAAACGAAAGTAATCCTAAAAACTTTCGTTTTATTGACAGTCAAAAAATGATATTTTTCAATAATTATTCATTTTTCATAACAAAAAATTTTTTACAATGAAAAAAGAAAACAGAAAAATGTATTTTAATTGTTAGATATTTATGTTACTAAATAATTGAAATGAGCTGTCATCAAAATCAGTTTTTTTGTTTGTTATGCCGCCGCAAATTTGTTAGAGAGCAATCGTTCATTCTTTTTCCGTTTCTTTTTTTCTTTTCTTTCAAAAAACAATTCATTCTTTTCCGTTTCATTTTTTTCTTTTCTTTTCTTTCACAAAAATATTTGTCAAAAATTGAATTTAACAATAATTTATTCCCGTTTAATATGAATTTATTAAACAGGAAAAAAAAAGTGTAGAGTACAAAAAGGGAAAATTTTGAACTGTTGAAAAGTTTGAATACAAATGATGCGAAAAGATTTGAAATACAATGAATCGGTCGATATCTTTCTTTTATTTGATAATATAATAAAAGTAGCAGAAGAAGGATCGGTCAATTCATTGATAGTTTTTATGATAAGTAATTGTCACCATTATATTGGTGACAGCAATTATTATGTTTTGTCAACTGTATAATTATAAAGAATATGTGTAAATTTTTTTGTTATATAAATAACAATATAACTAATACGGAAATATCTGTAACAATAAAAAAATTTATATTATGAATATGTTGTTGATTATATAATTGTAAGGATGTGTATGCTTAATTAATTATTAGTATAACAACAAGGCGTAGATGTAACAATAAGAAATTTACGCTGTTAATATGTTGTCAATTACATATTGTAAATATGTTGTCAATTATATAATTATAAAAGTGTGTGTGTGTGTGTGTGTATGCTTACTGTATTAATTAGCAATATAACAACAAGGCGTAAAATACAATAATACGAATATACGCATTATATGTTGCAATTATTTTAATTATAGTTTGTAGAAATATGTGTATATATATATGCTTATTGTATTAATTATCAATATAACAGCAAGGCGTAGATGAAACAATAAGAAAGTTATGTTGTAAATATGTTATCAATTATGTAGTTTGTAGAAATATAAGTATATATATGCTTATTGTATTAATTATCAATATAACAACAAGGCGTAGATGAAACAATAAGAAAGTTATGTTGTAAATATGTTATCAATTATGTAGTTTGTAGAAATATAAGTATATATATGCTTATTGTATTAATTATCAATATAACAGCAAGGCGTAGATGAAACAATAAGAAAGTTATGTTGTAATTATGTTATCAATTATGTAGTTTGTAGAAATATAAGTATATATATGCTTATTGTATTAATTATCAATATAACAGCAAGGCGTAAATGAAGCAATAAGAAATTTCTGTTGTAAATATACTGTCAATTATATAATTATCAAAATGTATGTGTATATATGCCTATTGCATAAGTATCACAATAACAATATGAAGTATGTACAACAATAAAGAAATGTATATATTAACATTTAATGATATAATAATACGAATATACGCATTATCATGTTGCAATTATTTTTAATTATATATAATTCTTTTATGTAATTAATTAATTAAACAAGGAAATGTTGCAAATATAGCAAATGATTTTCTGCAAGATGAAGAAGAATTCGTTGAAGAATTATTTTCGAAGATGTTAAAAATGAGACAAAAAAAAAGAAGCAAAATTGAAATAATGAAAATTGGTTGTATTCATTTGCTGTCACCAATATTGAAAATACTGCTGACACACAAAATATATTTTTGATCAATTTAAATTTTACATTTTTTTTTTAAATGGGAAATATTTTTTTTGAGAAAGAGATAAAAGTCAAATATTAAATTGAAGACAAAAACAAAAAAAAAAGGGAATTACAGTTTATATTTTAATTAATCGATGAGAAAATATTATAAAATTAAAATTTCTATAATTACTAATAGTCTAAACTATTATTAATTATCGGTTTGAAAAGAATGGTTATTGAAAATAAATGAAAGTTATTTTGGCGATCGATGGAAATGACTGAGAAGGATGAGAAATGAAAGGCGTGTTGACAGAATTTGACGACAAAATTTTGTATTGAAAAATTTTGGAAAAACATTTAAGTACCAAAATGAAGAGAATAATGAGTTAAAGGGAAATTAAAATTTAAATTACATAACATGCAAATAAATTAACTAAATTAAAGAAAATAAGATTAAATTAAATTAGCAATCAAATTTATTGATTGCTAATTTAATTTAATCGTTATTTTTAACTATTAACTATTTAATTATATATTGCTAATTAACAGAAATGAATAAAACAAAAAAATATGATTAATTTTTGACACACATAACACACAGAGAGTTGATGGATAAATTTGTAATAGTAAAGAAAGCATTACATTGAATAATCCGATAGACTATTTGAGTTAAAATAAAATTAAATTAGATACAATTAAATTTTAATTTAATTAGAATGCCGAAAAGTGGAAAATACGGCGATCATGCAAAAGAATATAGCATCATATTTGTTAAGCCGTATAATCTTTTTCTCATTATTTTTGTCGCACATTTTCATTAGCTTTCATTCTTTTGCTTTTCGTCTGCTAATACCGATCCTTTATGCTACAACAAATTTGGTTTACTTTTAAATTCACTCTACTTTCCTAATCTCATTCATTCCTCTCTCCAAATAATACTTTTATCAACTCATTCTTTATCATCGTCTTCCTAATTAATCAGCTAATTAATTAGTTAATTAATTAGTTGCAAAATTGTGTAAGTAAATCAACGGAATATAAAAATGATATTTAAAAGTTATGATTATAGTTAAAAGACTGATGTAATGATGCAAATGATGTATAAACTATATCATTATTATCGGTTACATTGCTTAACGTTAACATTTAGGTATCTTCTTCAAACAACAAAATGATATGATTTCAGACCGTCAACTAAGATATCTAATAGTATTTGATAAAAAGAAAAAAATGGTTAATTTTAGGTAATCCATTCCAATCAATAAATGGCTTTTTTCATACATCAATGAAATGATCGATAACAAAATCGAATTTTGTAAACTTAGTGTACATTAATATATTAGAATATAAAAGACTAAGGAAAATTAAGATGCTGGAAGTAAGGAGAAAATATTAAGCTAAATTTCCTATTAAAATCTACATCAATTTATCTAAGTGAAAAAAAATTTCTCATGTATGAAAAGGTAATCCATCCGGTATCCTTTCAACTTATATGAAATTTAAGCTCATATTTAGGCTAATATTTGCAAAAAAAAATAAATTCGAGCTTTTTGCAAGCTTTATAATTTTCTTTTATACAAAATAAAACAGTCTTAAGTGTAATTATCGATTACTTATTTTACTTAAAACTTAAATTAATATCTTTTTTTTTGAGAATTCTTTTTAAAACTTTCCTAGACCATTCAATCTTTGGATCGTCAAAGATAAAATTTTCTACAATTACTGCAGGAAACAGACGATGAATTCAAGCGTAAAAATTGAATTCCCAGTAAAACTAACATTTTAAGTTATTATTCCAATTTTTGATAATTAAATGCTAGACTTATTTTTTTCACAATATCCCATCCATTCTTAAGAAAAGGGACATTATGAAAATATCTCAGGATTTGTTAGCGGGAAATTACCTTATAAGTCGTTGAGTGGATATCGAATGGGTTGAGAGTGTGTTGTAATTGAAGAAATGGCAGAGATTGAGAGGGTTTTGCGAAATAAGATGGATAAAATTGTAAAAGCGACATGAGAGGAAATTTCGATAAGTTTTGAAAATTGAATTCCTTCTTTATAAGTTTATGTTGTATAATCATCTGTTGAAGAAGTTTTAAAAAATTTATAAAACAAATGATAAAAATATTCCCCGAATATATTTTGTATAGATTAAATATAAATTAGTGTTTGTTTATTATGATTTGAACTTTTTCTTTTTGTAAATCAAATTAATTGTTATATTTTGTTTACTGTTTATAAGAAACACCAAGATAAGAAATGAGGTAATTGAGATAGCTGTAATTATTTATGATAGTTGTAATAGCTGTAAGATAATTGTAAGATAGCTGTAAGATAATTATGTAATTACCTTCATTCTTCTTTTCGGTCGTTTCAGTTACTCCATGAAACTGAAATAGGATGCTTGTATGACATCGATTTCTTAGATATAAAGATTTTGAATTATTGAGAGGATGCTAACAGTTGAAGGTGGTTCGAGTGGTCACTGCAGCTTAAGAAATCTGTTTGCTTTTTGGTAAGTATACTGAAGGATGAATTTAATTATAAAATGGTGCAATATCAATGACATTTCTTAATCGTTAGAAGTTATTTCCTTTTTTTTCATTTTCTGACATTTAATTATAAATGTAGCATATTATTGACCGTAGCTCATAAATCATGGATATATATATATATTTTCACCTCTGGTTTTTTCAGTTTAATGATTGCTATTCAGGATGCTCGGTTTGTGCAACAATTTTGGATTTGTGGTTATGCTTAGTGCAGCAGAAGACATACTGTCAATGGAAGATGGTCGCAAAACATTCCCTAAAAGTACTGACGATCCTTGCCAGGTTGTTTCTCGCACCTCTCATCCTTGATATTGATACTAGCTAATAAAAGAAATAGGTCACTATACCTGTTTGCCATTTATTTATTTTACAATTACTGCATGAATTAAGGAGAGAGATGTTGAAAGAATTGGGCAGCTACGTTAACCTCTTATCTAATTCATTATCCATTCTTTTTTCTCATTCTTTAGTTTATCATTAATAATAGATTTGAAATTCTCTTTCGACTTAAATTTGCTTTTAGTGCTGTAATTAGTCTCAGATAGTTATCATTTCTTAAATGATTTTCGATTTAATATAATTTATCACTGTTAGTTTTTTACTAATTCATCTACATATTTCAGAGTTTAATTGTTCACCGTCAATGCCGATTATTATCCACTGGTTCAGTGTTATTAGCAAATATTATACCAAGTTTGGTTGTAAAAATATTCTGTCCGTTTGTTATGTATCGCGTTCCTTTTGGGTAAATTTATATTTTTAAAGCTAAATTGGAAAATTTAAATTTGTAGGAATTTCTAACTCCTAACTTTTTTATCTAGCAAAGTTAATTACTTTACTGTTTTGGCTGCAGCATAGTTTGAGCAGATTGTTCTAAATTACAGTGTGCGACATTTGTTCATTGTTCTTCTTCAGATAAGCAGCTTCCTGGTGGTTGCTTTTTCACGAAATATTCTTATGAGTTTAACTGGTTAGTTTTTTTAATTTATTCAGCAAAAAAAAGAAATTGATTGACTTCTGTATAGCTTAATTCTGTTTCAGTAAACTGATTTCCTTTTACGATAACATATATTATCCTTTGTTTGTGTTGAGTGCCACTACGTTTCAAAATGCTATTAGCATTAGGAATGCACCCATGTTATTAAATTAAGTGTGGATTATATTTTTGAATTATATTTTGAAACGTCGTGAAGCTGTCCTATTGAGCTAGTTTACCTTCAACTTACCATTAACATATAAAGTTTGGTATTCTCTATTTTATATAGAAATGTTATGAAAAATATTTACAGGTGTTGCCTTAGCAAGTATTGGAGCAGGTGTTGGAGAAGTCACTTTTCTTTCTCTGACTACTTATTTCCCAAAGTAAGGGATATTCCGTTTTGATTATTATGGTCTCTCAAATTGAATTGACCGCCACATCCAATTCTTATAAAAAATTTAATATCTAACTATTTTTATTTACGATGCCAATGAATAGCGCTTTGAAAGATAAAATGTTTGGAGAAGGAATCACTATTCTGAAGTGCGTTCAATTCTTTAAGTGAAGCAATCGAAGATATAGCTTTTAGTTAAGAAATTTACAGCATTAGTCATGATTGTAGATGATTTTTGTCATTCAACATATGCCCTCGATATAGATTTTAATGTATTTTAGAAATAACATAATGGCAAGACTTTGGCTAAAGGCAAAGAGTCGGAGTTACTGACCTTTCCGTCGAAGTTTTGTCAATATGTATTTCCAGTGAATTTGAGAAAAGAAGTTTTTAAATTCGAGATGTAAGACATTCCGAAATGAATGAATATTGAATGCAGTAACGCGGTGGGAGCATGGTCGTCTGGAACGGGTGGCTCTGGAATTTTTGGTTCATTTGCTTATGCGATGTTGACTGATATGCATATGTTGGGATTGACACCGCGGAATGCTTTGCTGTTTATTCTGATTGTTCCATTCACGTTTGCTTTCATGTAAACTTTTATCTATCCAACTTTTCACGTTTTCTAACTTATCACGCACATATAATTTAGCCCTATCAATAAAAGTTTTCCTAACTTATTGTATTGTTCCTCTTAGCGCTTCATAAATTTTTAGTTACTGGAAGTTATTACTGCTACCTAGGAGCATACATCGGGTGCTATTATGCAAACCGTCAACTTACTTGGTCACCTACCCAAGTAAGTGTTTGATTTTTGCACTGCAACAAAGCAAATTCTAATTATTTAAGTTTTAATAGTTTCTCCAAGCGCAAATAGATTTTTTGTAAAAAATTTGTGATCTTTTAATGCAAGTTTTTTTTTGTGATTAATTTATGATCAGTTTTTTTATGATTAATTTTCTTGCGACGGTGCGATCGAATGATAGATAATTCCTATCTGTTTCTCCCTTAATTACAGTCTACGGAGTTTTTTAGTTTTTTTTCAATGGACAAAAAAATGATAAGAAATTTCAGCATTAGGCAGACGAAGAAGGAGTGATATAAGCAGTGGCGATGAAGCAGCACAGTTGATCAGTTAATGTTTCGATATGTTAGCTTAAAAAAATGCTTAATGAGTATTAACTATGGAGTCTCCTTTGTTACATACGTGGTACACATACATGAAGCTCTGAATTGAAGCTTATAGTGCTGGATTTTAACATTTACTTTTTCCCACCCATTTGGTAAAATATCAATTTTTATGTTAGCTTATTTCTTCAACAAAATAGGTATTTTTTAAATTTCATCAATATTTCTGATTTAATTATAGTATCAATTTATCGATAGATCTGCTAAAAAATTTTCATGATATTTTGATAAAGTAGTATTTTTTATCTTTGTAGATAATTATGATGATTCCGATGCCGGGGTCACTACTACCATCGAGCAACTAAGTTTCAAAAATAAACTGGTAATAGCCAAGGTAATATAATTTCTTATCCTGGTTTTATGTAGTATGAAAGTAAAAAATAATGATTTCTTTGACATTTTTGCAAAGCTTTTCACGATCATGTCTGACGTAGGTCTCACCAGTGCTATACTGCGCTTATTTAACTTCTCCATTTCCTCGTAATGATACGAGAATTGGGTTTTAGATTGAGAGAAATAGTAGTTACATACACTGTACTAATAAAAGCAGTTACATCATATTAGTATAAATCATTCTCATCATAAGCACAAAAACTAATCAAACAATTTTCCTGTATTTTACAGCCTCTTGTTTTGAAATATATGTTTCCACTGGCCTTGGTTTATTTTGCGGAGTATTTTATTAATCAAGGATTGGTAAGTTATCGAGAAATTTTAACTCGTTCATTTTCGGAATCGCTAAGTAAAATTGCTCTTCGAAAGATTTCTTTTTTAGTCTACTGAGCTTTTATGGGATATCACAATGACCGTACTGTTGTAGAGAATATTTTGCACATATTGCCCGATAAATACTTCTTAAGTATTTGTCACTAGCTGCGGCGTTCTGACTGTTTCCTTGTCTCGAAGTTACCCCTACAATTTTATACTATTTTGGAGGATTAAATTGAATTAAGATATTATTTCCACGGGGAGAACTGGATGGTATGAAAAAATTTTTCGAAATATGTGAATTTTGCAGTTGGAATTACTTGTGTTTGATTGTGCACATGGTTTTGGTATCGGTCAGCGTGGGCAGTACCGCTGGTATCAAGTAAGAATTATAGAATTTTTCAAAATCGAAATTGTACTTTACATTTAGCGAAATTGGAATACACTTACATACACTTATTTTTATTTTTACAGGTACTTTACCATCTCGGAGTATTTACTTCGCGCTCTTCAGTTGAATTTATCCAGCTTAGATCATCTTCTATATCAGTGATTCCTGTTCTACAAGTAAAAGATTTATCTTCAAAAGAGACATACTTTTAAAATTTCGAAATGTTTCTCATGTAACGTACACATATCCTTAGCAATTAATATAGTCAATCTTTCGTGGCATAAAAGAATCTTGTCATTAGTAGATACTGCATTTTACTGCATTTAGATGCACTTATACTGGCCTTTCATCTTTTTATTATTTGTTTTTCAGGCATTAAATGCTGTCTTCCTGTTTTGGGACACTCTTAAATCATTCATACCACATGTTATTGTTGTATTTATTATTGTTTTCTACGAAGGATTATTGGGTGGAGCAGCTTACGTCAACACTTTCCGTTTGCTACATAAGTCGGTGAGTTAACGAGTCTGCTGGCAGGTTGTTTTGCTCCCTTATGCAGCAAACTATTTAATTTATCAAGTTAAGTAGAAATTGAAATTGGAACATTATTTAACAATTTTGTTCCGTTATCGACTTAAATTGTATTGCGATTTCTTACGTGCTTTACGCACACTTTCCAGAACTTGGCAGATTATGTTCGAAAGGTCCTGATGTTTCGCTCTATTTTCACCTGATAAATAAGCATCAGTTATAGACTGATCAGTTTGATTTCATACAACTCAAACACGAAATCAAAAATTTATCTAGGGGTTTTATGAGCATGTCGCGAAAATTATCGAATAAAAACTCCTCGCTACCTACTCATTTCTGCGAGATCCGCAAAGATCATCTGGCATCAGATTGCGCCCTTCTACTATTCTTCGAAAGGAAGCTTACAGCTCCTTTTACCAAACAGATCCGTGCGATTCACATAATAGTTGAGGTAGAAGTTATATGGATCGCTTAAATCGACATCCACGCCTTCTCAGCTGCAGTGTGCCTATTAACTTTTCGATACTACCCGACTATACGACCTTACCACAACAGGAACATATTCCGTTTATCACACAAAAAATAATCTTTTTCTTTTTGAAATTAATTTTATTTAAGTTTCAGGTTCCCATAGAAGAAAGAGAATTCAGTTTGGGTTTTGTTTCGATGTCTGATTCATTTGGTATCGTATGCGCAGGTTTTTTAGCCATATCAGCTCATAATTTCATTTGTGGTATGCCTGTCTGAAACTATTCTATTATTTTCTGGAATGACGGTACTGTCATATTGTTTCTTAGACTTTTCTTTTCAAGCAGATAACAAGCAGTTCAGCGTTGCTTCTTTTCGAACTTCAAGACTGACATGTGTTGAACTCTCAGGCCCTCAATGACTTGTTTCTTTTTTCTTTGCAAATTTGTGCAGTCGTGTGAAATTGTAAAATTTCAATTACTTTTCTCATGGTGTTTTCGGAAATGTGCTAATTGAAAACGCTTCAAAGAAACGAATTTTTATTATCATTAATGCGAATATGTAGGAGATCAATGAGAAGCGAAAAAGTAACCCTGAGAATGATATGAGTGATATTCACAATCAATTGATAACAGTTATTGTTTTAAGTTCTCTCCAAATCATTTCTCTCCTTTTTAAATCCACTTTAATCGAATGTTATAAACAAATTAAAATGTTTTTGAAATACAGACTATCTTAGTTTTGTTCCAGAAATTATTAATACTACCAGTCCATAACAATGCGAAGAAAATGAATGAATAAGGCAAATACAACAATAAAGAATGCAAGCAGTGAATACCTTAGCCAACGAATGAAATGCATTCGTCCATTATCACTTTGTGTTCCAGCTAACATTCGTTTGTACAGTGAACGTTCTTGTTCACGACACAGCTTCAAACGCGCTTTCTGACGGCGCAGTTCTTTTAGAATAAGCTAAAGAGATAATAAACAGTTATTAAATTGTCAGTTTTGAAGCCCTAGAAGTACTGCATGATATTAAACGTACTTTGAGTAAAATAAACTATTTTCCACAGATGGTCGAAATGCGATAAAGAAGCTAAGCTTAACCTAAAGCGCAAATGCCTTGCTACGTCTTAATCAATCATTTCATCATTTTATTTATCTCTTACTTTTTTTCTAACATCAGACCCTAACTTTGTCCTAAATATCTTAAGTTAGAATGCAGTAAGTATGGTGATTTTCTTAAAAATTGAAATGATTCGATTTAAAATTAACTTCGTCGCTGGGGTCGATTTGATGTGCGATATTCAAAGTATCGATTGCTTCTTCGATGAAATTCAAATTTGCATAGGCATTTGCTCGCCTGAACAATGCCTTCGTATTGCTTGAATTTAAATTCAAAGCATCACTAGAAGCATCCAAAGTTAACTTCCAGTCGCAAAGCTAGAAAAAAATTATATTAGAGGAAGTGAACCGGTGAAACAGTTACCGCACATGAGTGTGGTTTAAGAAAACGTAGCCAAAAAAGTCAGTGCTCCATGGACATTCGCGTTTCTGCTGTGTTCGGAGTAATCCACACTAGTACTGTTAATTCAAGATATGCTGGTAGTTCAGACGTAATATAAGTAGTTCAAACGTAATATAACATGTAGTACTATAAGGCGGTAAGTCGTATACATTATGAGAACGAGAATCAATGCATCCTAAAAAGTTAAACCTATTTATCGTCTTTGCACATTTTTATGATTTAAAGAACCAGAAGCACAAAAGATTATCGAGAATGGATAACAAACTTGAAGAAATTCCAACCTTTGCATAACAAACAGACAAATTGGAGTAAATCACAGACAGCAAATTTCGCAATGTTTCATCTTCTGGGGATCTATCAATCAATTCAGTACTTCTGAAGAACAAAATCTTTACTGATTAGTTCAGAAACAAATCATAATCTGATGAGTTCAGGAGGTAGTTTAATAAAATTTAACAGTGACAATATGAAATGTGTTCCCATCTCGGTGGAAAAAGTCCATTTAATCGAAACAGACTTTAATCAAAATTGAAACACTTTGCAAAAAGGTAAATGTAGAAACACTCGCAGTTACAAATTCTTCAAATATCAATTTTTATGTCTCAGTTGTTCAAATCCTAAGCATTCACCTCTTATAAACATATATTGCTTTTTCCAATTCCTTTCTATTATAGAAATAATTGCCCCTTTCTTTTAATTCAGTGATATGTTTCACCAGCTCATTCGTCCGCAGCGTTGTATACAGTGGTCCATCGGTAATGCAAACCAGTTCAATTTCATATTCCATCGTTTGATACGGTGGAATATTACGTTCTGGATCACCTACGCTACCATATGCAAAACGATGCTCACTTTTTATAGCGTCAATTTCGCCTTCATGCATCAGCTGTAGTACCATTTCCCATGCTGAAAGATGCACGAGTACGGAGGAAAAAGTAAGGGCAGTTGTTTCCATAAAAAGTAATTTCAAGTTCAACTACCATGACTATTTTAAGTAAAATAGAACACTGCTGCAGTTAAAAGTGTCTAAAGTGCATAGCAGATATACTGAATAAAGAAAGAACGAACGATATTTTATGCATTGCAAGAACAATTAAACTAAGTTACCATACTTTTTTAGTGCACGAGTAAAATCCGCCAACTTCAAAGAAAATCTGTTACGCATAATGAAAGATGTTTCACTGATAATCAAGTAATGTTTTATTCCCATTCATAATAATGTTTCCCTAACAATAATTCCAGTCACTGATAAGCAAAATAAATGCTGCTATCATATACTAGTATAAACGGAATAAAAAGTGATATAAAAAAGAAACACAACAAACCATCTATAACCATGCTAAAACCGAGAACAAATGTTTTTTCACTGACATTATCTATTCCAAACCTCGTATCTACAACTTTAACTGTCACCTTTTGACCATTTCGGGCTTTTGGTCCTTTTCCAACTTTCAACACCTGAAATCTATATTTCATTGAACTAGAGGACTATGAATAAATTAAACAATTCGACAACCAGTATTATAAGTCTAATTTAGGCAACAGATGCTCGGCTATACTCGAAAAAGTCATGCCACTATTACAAAGGGTAACATGACTTCATCGAATGAAAAGAAATAGTCAATATTTAAATGAAGCCACTATAACAGCTTTGGATCATTAATTATTACCTCCATATCTCATTGAATTTATATTGAATACTTGTAACAAAAGTGATCACCTTACAAAATAACTGTCCACTACCCAAAATATCATTCCATTCTTCCATAGATACAGAGCAATGAACACTAGAGAGTGATTGCTCCGTGCGACATTCTGTTTCGAGGGCATCACTGGATGGGCCTTTTGCCTTTGTTGCCAAAGTCTGGAGCATACAAATTTAGTGATTAAACTGATTGCAAGGATAAAAATTTGAAGCGCTCACAACACTTTGAAATGAGTCAATGAAGTCCCTTTTATCAAAAGAAAACATCTTGAATAGAAAAACTACCTGTATTCGTGCAACACCGACAAGATCAGAATCACTCAACGCGGCACGTTCTTCGTCAACAGATCCATCTAACGATGGCTCACCGCTGCTCACTGCGCGACGGTGGCAACAGTTCTAAAAACAGGTATTTAACACAATGTTACATTAGTAGACAATAAATCAACTCTTACCAAACAAATTGCATTTTCCAAACTACTGTTAACTTCCAAAACAATTTTTTCACCACAGTAAGTCATTTAATTTGAACTTTTAGATATCATTGAAAACTTTTAGATATCATTGAATGCTTGTTACACCAACTTAGCTATCATCTAATGAACTCACATATCACTAATATAGCGTCCTTATCACAACCGCAATGGCCAAAGCATGGGGAAGCATTCTTCAAAATACTTCGATCTAATAAAATCGTAGAAACTAGTAAGAAAACTAACCGGCCTTGTCTGATACTTTTCACATGTTTTCTGTGAGAAGACCAGATAAGCTTAAGTTACAGCAATCAAAAACAACAATGATAAGAAAGACAAGAAACATTTAAAAAGATAGTTACTTTCTAGCAACCTCATTTATATCATCCGAACCAATAAGTCGTAATTCTTCGCCATTTTCATTCCAATTACAGATTGACATGTTCGAATTGTTTTGTAATTCCCAGTCGTTTTTTACCAGTTCTAATCGGTCTAATCGTCTTCAAGCCTTTACGGCTCTTCAAATTCTAATCGTTCTTCAATTCCCCAACTATTTATCCGTTTTTTAATTTTTCAAAATTTCATAACGAAGAAGAAGAAAAATGGAAATACACGAACAAATCTGAAAATGTTTAAGAATACTAAATTTATACAAAAGCATTTCTTAACTACATTAAAATTACTATAGCGCTATGATAAGAGTAATCTTTCACTGAATTTGATAACGTGAAAAGGAACAGCACAAATGTGGTTGTGAGAGAGATTTACAAAAGCTTAATGAATAGAATTCAAGAGGATAGTAAGGTACGATAAAAACTTATGCTAATAATCTCATACTCCCATATTTCATCAACTATAAGCAATTTATGTAAGCTCGTTGATATTTTTAGCTACAATGACATCTAGTTCAGTTATCATGTTTAAAACATTGATAACTGAACTAGATGTCATTGTAGCTAATTATAAAATTAATTTGTCCTCCTATTTCATCATATAAGAGGCGTGGAATCTATCAAAAATACAAAAAACAATCAAAGATGAATATTACAAGATATCATCCTCGCGCTCCCTATCATTTCCTCATATATCTCGTTTAGTAAAACACCAGAATCCTACTAAATTCCTGGAATTACATACAGCGAATTACAGGTTGAACCCGCAATAAGTATGTGAAAGGATAAGCAAATTTCACAACTCTGATCATCCCATTGTGCAAATTTCTGTCTTTTACGTATTGAATTTGTGTAGGAGAATTTTTTGAATATATTCTGAAAGTTATTGATTAAATTTAAAATTAAAGTTTTTTTTTCTTTTATTATTAATTAATATTTTGGTATTTTTTCTTCTTCTTATGAATAAAATTTTTGATAATTTTCAATTAATAACAAAATATTTTAGTGTTTTCTTTTCTTTTTTATCTGAATAATTTTTCAATCGTTCCCTTTCGTATAGGATTGGAATATATCGATTTTTAACTTTGCTAGTAATTTTTTTACTGACAACTTTTTTTAAACTAACTTCTATCATACTGATCATTATCATAGGTGTAGTAGGATTGGCTGGTAATTTTTTACTGACAGTTTTTTTTTTTTACTAATTTTTATCATTCTGATCATTATCATAGATGTAGTAGCATTGGCTAGTAATTTTTTACTGACAGTTTTTTGTTTTACTAACTTTTATCATTCTGATCATTATTGTAGATGTAGTAGCATTGGCTAGTAATTTTTTACTGACAGTTTTTTGTTTTACTAACTTTTATCATTCCGATCATTATCATAAATGTAGTAGCATTGATGCATTATCAACATTATATGTGAAATATTTCATATGTGTTAAATCAAAAATAGTTGTTTTTAATTTTATATTATAAAACATCTTTTAAAATTTTTCATTATTCTTCATTATATTTCTTATCATCATGATTATTTAATTATTAATAATTATTATTGTAGATAATTTTATTTCATTTATCATTTGCTAACTGCAGTATAAATAATTTTTATGAAAGTTAAATTTTTGAAATATATTCAAATCAAATTTTGTTTTGATAAATATCATATCACTATTGTAACATAATCCATTTTAACTGATAATTTTGAAGCTAGTATAAGCGGAATAATTGCTTAAATTTAATTAAGTATAAGTTAAGATTATTCAATTTGCATCTGCTTTTAAAAATATCAAAATAATATAAAAGGTAGAGCAAATAATTTTCAATGGCAAAAAAAAATCACTTAATTAATTGTTGTGACAGCGCAGTATGCTTCAACTATAGATTATTTGAAATGTATCTCAATTAATGATATCTATCTATCTTAATTATTCTACCTTAATTAATATCTATCTTAATTAATGTATTTTTAAAGCAAGTACAAATTGAATAATCATAATATTCATAAAATCACATAATTAATTGTTGTGACGGCGCAATATATTTAAACTATGGATTATTTGAAATTTACTAATTAATTGTTGTGACAGCGCAACATGTTTCAACTATGGATTATTTGAAATTTATCGCAGTTAATGATATCTATCGTATTTTTAAAACAGGCGCAAATTGAATAATCATAATATTCACAAAATCACATAATTAATTGTTGTGACAGCGCAGCATGTTTCAACTATGGATTATTTGAAATTTACCAATTAATTGTTGTGACAGCGCAATATGTTTCAACTATGGATTATTTGAAATTTATCGCAGTTAATGATATCTATCGTATTTTTAAAACAGGCGCAAATTGAATAATCATAATATTCATAAAATCACATAATTAATTGTTGTGACAGCGCAATATGTTTCAACTATGGATTATTTGAAATTTACTAATTAATTGTTGTGACAGCGCAATATGTTTCAACTATGGATTATTTGAAATTTATCACAATCAATGATATCTATCGTATTTTTAAAGCAAGCGCAAATTGAATAATCATAATATTCGTGGTAAATATCCTTCATATCCTCTTCAATGATCTAATGTTACATTCCCTTATGAAAATAAACATTTTAAATCTTTTTTTTTTAATTTTCATTTTTAAATTTTATCTTTCAATTTTTTTCTTTGATATCATTCTATTTTCATTTTTTTTTATTGAACGTATACAATAAGTACCATGTCTTGATGACAGTTGCAACATCTTATTATTATTATTTTGTTTGTCGTAATCATCTATCGAATATTTTGGGAAAGTTTTCGTTACCATTTTAGCCGATTGAAATCGATTAAGATTTTGTTTTTTATAATTTCTCAAATAAAAATATATAAATAAGAAATGGATAACTTCTATTTGACAATTTTTCGAAATGGTCATTTAAAAGGAGAATTAAATTGAAATTTAGAATTTCTTCTATAGTAGAAAGCTTATTAATTAAGTTAATTACTATATATATATATATCATTTCAAATGTGTAAAAATATATGAATAACAAATGGATAATTCTATTTGATAATTTTTCGAAATAATCATTTAAAACAGAATTAAATTGAAATTTGGAATTTCTTCTATTGTGGAAAAGTTTTTTAATTAAGTTAATTGCTATATATATATATATATATATATATCAATTCAAATTTATAAAAATGTATAAATAAGAATTCTACCTGGCAATTTTTCGAAATAATTATTTGAAACAGAATTAAATTGAAATTTAGAATTTCTTTTATTGTAGAAAACTTTTTTAATTAAGTTAATTACCATATATACATACATATATATATATATCAATTCAAATTTTAATTTTTTCATTTCTACTTCAATGTTGCAATTCAACAATTCCCCCTCCCCCATAACATAATGTAATGTAATCCTTTTCTCTCTTTTCCGATCCTTTAATTGACATCGTAAAAAAAGAAGAGGAAACAATTGCAATGGATCTTTTCTTAGTGACACCTTTAATACATTTTAACCTATAAATACAATTGTTCACAAATTCTTTTTCTAGGTCAAATCATTATCGCTCCCTCTTTTAACCATTCCAAAAAAAAACGAAAGAAGTTGAGAGAGAAAGAGAGAGAGAATGAGAAAGAAAGAAAAGAGCATTTCAAATAAATGACAATCCTAAAATTGTTTGTTTGAAAATTTATTCTTTAGGAAACGAAATTCATTATTATATATACGGATCTAATGAAATGAAAAAAATGACAGAAAATGTGATCAATCTTACCAACCTTTCCTTTTTTTTGTTATGTATTATGAATTATTATTATTATTATTATTATCATTATATTCATTATCATCATCACTATCATTATCATTATTATCATCTTTTAAAACTCATACACGTCATATTTTTTAATAAATAATCAAATTAGTGAATAAATTAATGAATGAATTAAATCAATGAATAAATAAATTAATAAATAAATGGATTACTGAATAAATGAATTAATGAATAAATAAAATTAATAAATGAACGAATAAATTAATAAATGAACAAAACAATAAATAAATAAATAAATTAATTAATTAATAGACAAATAAATAGAAAAATTGATGGATAGATAAATAAATAAACAATATAAATATAAAAACATTAAACGGATAAGTAGATAAACAGATAATAAATAAATAGATAAACAAATAAATAGATAAATGTATAAATAAGTAAATTAATTAATAGTAAGAATAAATCAATAAATAATAAATTAATGCATAAATAGTTAAATAAATAAATAAACAAAATAAATCAGTAAATAAACAAATAAATAAATAAACGTATGTATATATGATATATGTATTTGCATCGAAAATTTTCTTTCATCTCTTTTACCTTCATAGGTGTAAGAAATACTGAACGATTCGATAGTTACGTATAGATATAGAGAACCAAAGAACATATCCACATAGATTGCACTCTGTGTTGCACACCTTTTTTACTACATCTTTTCATCATCCATTCCATCGTCATTATTTCAATTAATAAAAATGTTACATTTCATAAAATAGCACCATTATTAATGACTATTATTATCATTATCATCATTATCAATTATCATCATCGTTTAAAATCCATAAATCTTATTATTAATATTTGATTATCTATTTTGATAAGTTAAAATTTGGTTACATTATAGCAAAATTATCACTATTTTTTACAATGAATAATAATTATTTGTAGAAATGAAAATAATTTGATTCAATAGATATGTGAAATTTTAGGATGATTATATACTAGAAAATTAATAAATGATATCTTTTCAAACGAGTGAACTTTCTGAGGAGAGATAATTTCCCATTGAAATGTATGTTAAAATGAAATCTCATAATATTCATTTCTTTCTTTCATCCATTTCTTTCCTTTTTTATCATGATGATCGTTACTGGTTACATTTTTTTAGGTGAAGAAAATTTTTAAAAGACAAACCTAAAAAAGGTCTCTTTTATTCTCTCTCTCTCTCTCTCTCATTTCATTATTTTTATCTCGGAAAATAT